ACTGGTGTTGTGTTGCTGCTGACACTGTTGTTGTTGAGTTGCTGCTGACACTGTTGTTGAGTTGCTGCTGACACTGTTGTTGTGTTGCTGCTGACACTGTTGTTGTGTGTTGCTGCTGACACTGTTGTTGTGTGTTGCTGCTGACACTGTTGTTGTGTTGCTGCTGACACTGTTGTTGTGTGTTGCTGCTGATACTGTTGTTGTTGTGTTGCTGCTGACACTGTTGTTGTTGTGTTGCTGCTGACACTGTTGTTGTTGTGTTGCTGCTGACACTGTTGTTGTTGTGTTGCTGCTGACACTGTTGTTGTTGTGTTGCTGCTGACACTGTTGTTGTTCTGTTGCTGCTGACACTGTTGTTGTTGTGTTGCTGCTGACACTGTTGTGTTGCTGCTGACACTGTTGTTGTGTTGCTGCTGACACTGTTGCTGAGTGTTGCTGCTGACACTGTTGTTGTTGTGTTGCTGCTGACACTGTTGTTGTGTTGCTGCTGACACTGTTGCTGAGTGTTGCTGCTGACACTGTTGCTGAGTGTTGCTGCTGACACTGTTGCTGAGTATTGCTGCTGACACTGTTGCTGAGTGTTGCTGCTGACACTGTTGTTGTTGTGTTGCTGCTGACACTGTTGTTGTTGTGTTGCTGCTGACACTGTTGTGTTGCTGCTGACACTGTTGTTGTTGTGTTGCTCCTGACACTGTTGTTGTTGTGTTGCTCCTGACACTGTTGTTGTGTTGCTGCTGACACTGTTGCTGAGTGTTGCTGCTGACACTGTTGTTGTTGTGTTGCTGCTGACACTGTTGTTGTGTTGCTGCTGACACTGTTGCTGAGTGTTGCTGCTGACACTTACCTGGTTGATACCTGGTTGATGGGGTTCTGGGAGTTCTTCTACTCCCCAAGCCCGGCCCGAGGCCAGGCTCGACTTGTGAGAGTTTGGTCCACCAGGCTGTTGCTTGGAGCGGCCCGCAGGGCCACGTACCCACCACAGCCCGGCTGATCCGGAACTTCTCTTAGAAAACCGTCCAGTTTTCTCTTGAAGATGTCCACGGTTGTTCCGGCAATATTTCTTATGCTCGCTGGGAGGACGTTGAACAACCGCGGACCCCTGATGTTTATACAGTGCTCTCTGATTGTGCCTATGGCACCTCTGCTCTTCACAGGTTCAATCTTGCATTTTCTTCCATATCGTTCACTCCAGTACGTTGTTATTTTACTGTGTAGATTTGGGACCTGACCCTCCAGTATTTTCCAGGTGTATATTATTTGGTATCTCTCTCGTCTCCTTTCTAGAGAGTACATTTGGAGAGCTTTGAGACGATCCCAATAATTTAGGTGTTTTATCTCGTCTATGCGTGCCGTATATGTTCTCTGTATTCCCTCTATTTCAGCAATCTCTCCTGTTGCTGAGTGTTGCTGCTGACACTGTTGCTGAGTATTGCTGCTGACACTGTTGCTGAGTGTTGCTGCTGACACTGTTGTTGTGTTGCTGCTGACACTGTTGTTGTTGTGTTGCTGCTGACACTGTTGTGTTGCTGCTGACACTGTTGTTGTGTTGCTGCTGACACTGTTGTTGTTGTGTTGCTCCTGACACTGTTGTTGTGTTGCTGCTGACACTGTTGCTGAGTGTTGCTGCTGACACTGTTGCTGAGTGTTGCTGCTGACACTGTTGTTGTTGTGTTGCTGCTGACACTGTTGCTGAGTGTTGCTGCTGACACTGTTACTGAGTGTTGCTGCTGACACTGTTGCTGAGTGTTGCTGCTGACACTGTTGCTGAGTGTTGCTGCTGACACTGTTGTTGTGTTGCTGCTGACACTGTTGTTGTTGTGTTGCTGCTGACACTGTTGTTGTTGTGTTGCTGCTGACACTGTTGTTGTGTTGCTGCTGACACTGTTGTTGTTGTGTTGCTGCTGACACTGTTGTTGTGTTGCTGCTGACACTGTTGTTGTGTTGCTGCTGACACTGTTGTTGTTGTGTTGCTGCTGACACTGTTGTTGTGTGTTGCTGACACTGTTGTTGTGTTGCTGCTGACACTGTTGTTGTGTGTTGCTGACACTGTTGTTGTGTTGCTGCTGACACTGTTGTTGTGTTGCTGCTGACACTGTTGCTGAGTGTTGCTGCTGACACTGTTGTTGTTGTGTTGCTGCTGACACTGTTGTTGTTGTGTTGCTGCTGACACTGTTGTTGTTGTGTTGCTGCTGACACTGTTGTTGTGTTGCTGCTGACACTGTTGTTGTGTTGCTGCTGACACTGTTGTTGAGTTGCTGCTGACACTGTTGTTGTGTTGCTGCTGACACTGTTGTTGAGTTGCTGCTGACACTGTTGTGTGTTGCTGCTGACACTGTTGTGTGTTGCTGCTGACACTGTTGTTGAGTTGCTGCTGACACTGTTGTTGTTGTGTTGCTGCTGACACTGTTGTTGAGTTGCTGCTGACACTGTTGTTGTGTGTTGCTGACACTGTTGTTGTGTTGCTGCTGACACTGTTGTTGTTGTGTTGCTGCTGACACTGTTGCTGAGTGTTGCTGCTGACACTGTTGTTGTTGTGTTGCTGCTGACACTGTTGTTGTGTTGCTGCTGACACTGTTGCTGAGTGTTAGGGACCAGCTGGGAGCAGTGTGAACCATGAGGGACCAGCTGGGAGCAGTATGAACCATGAGGGGACCAGCTGGGTACAGTGTGAACCATGAGGGACCAGCTGGGAACAGTATGAACCATGAGGGACCAGCTGGGAGCAGTATGAACCATGAGGGGACCAGCTGGGAGCAGTATGAACCATGAGGGACCAGCTGGGAGCAGTATGAACCATGAGGGACCAGCTGGGAGCAGTGTGAACCATGAGGGACCAGCTGGGAGCAGTGTGAACCATGAGGGACCAGCTGGGAGCAGTATGAACCATGAGGGACCAGCTGGGAGCAGTATGAACCATGAGGGACCAGCTGGGAGCAGTATGAACCATGAGGGACCAGCTGGGAGCAGTATGAACCATGAGGGACCAGCTGGGAGCAGTATGAACCATGAGGGACCAGTTGGGAACAGTATGAACCAAGAGGGACCAGCTGGGAGCAGTATGAACCATGAGGGACCAGCTGGGAACAGTATGAACCAAGAGGGACCAGCTGGGAACAGTATGAACCAAGAGGGATCAGCTGGGAGCAGTATGAACCATGAGGGACCAGCTGGGAGCAGTATGAACCAAGAGGGACCAGCTGGGAGCAGTATGAAGCAAGATGGACCAGCTGGGAGCAGTGTGAACCAAGAGGGGCCAGCTGGGAGCAGTATGAACCAGAGGGACCAGCTGGGAGCAGTGTGAACCAAGAGGGACCAGCTGGGAGCAGTATGAACCAGAGGGACCAGCTGGGAGCAGTGTGAACCAAGAGGGACCAGCTGGGAGCAGTATGAACTAAGAGGGACCAGCTGGAAGCAGTATGAACCAAGAGGGACCAGCTGGGAGCAGTATGAACCATGAGGGACCAGCTGGGAACAGTGTGAACCATGAGGGACCAGCTGGGAGCAGTGTGAACCATGAAGGACCAGCTGGGAGCAGTGTGATCCATGAGGGACCAGCTGGGAGCAGTATGAACCAAGAGGGACCAGCTGGGAGCAGTGTGGACCATGAGGGACCAGCTGGGAGCAGTGTGAACCATGAGGGACCAGCTGGGAGCAGTGTAAACCATGAGGGACCAGCTGGGAGCAGTATGAACCATGATGGGACCAGCTGGGAGCAGTGTGGACCATGAGGGACCAGCTGGGAGCAGTGTGAACCATGAGGGGCCAGCTGGGAACCATGAGGGACCAGCTGGGAGCAGTGTGAACCATGAGGGACCAGCTGGGAGCAGTGTGAACCATGAGGGACTAGCTGGGAGCAGTGTGAACCATGAGGGACCAGCTGGAAGCAGTATGAACCATGAGGGGACCAGCTGGGAGCAGTGTGGACCATGAGGGACCAGCTGGGAGCAGTGTGAACCATGAGGGACCAGCTGGGAACCATGAGGGACCAGCTGGGAGCAGTGTGAACCATGAGGGACCAGCTGGGAGCAGTGTGAACCATGAGGGACCAGCTGGGAGCAGTGTGAACCATGAGGGACCAGCTGGGAACAGTATGAACCATGAGGGGACCAGGTGGGAACAGTATGAACCATGAGGGACCAGCTGGGAACAGTATGAACCATGAGGGACCAGCTGGGAGCAGTATGAACCATGAGGGACCAGCTGGGAGCAGTGTGAACCATGAGGGACCAGCTGGGAGCAGTGTGAACCATGAGGGACCAGCTGGGAGCAGTATGAACCATGAGGGACCAGCTGGGAGCAGTGTGAACCATGAGGGACCAGCTGGGAGCAGTGTGAACCATGAGGGACCAGCTGGGAGCAGTGTGAACCATGAGGGACCAGCTGGGAACCATGAGGGACCAGCTGGGAACCATGAGGGACCAGCTGGGAACAGTATGTACCATGAGGGACCAGCTGGGAGCAGTGTGAACCATGAGGGACCAGCTGGGAGCAGTGTGAACCATGAGGGGACCAGCTGGGAGCAGTATGAACCATGAGGGACCAGCTGGGACCAGTGTGAAACATGAGGGGACCAGCTGGGAGCAGTGTGAACCATGAGGGACCAGCTGGGAGCAGTATGAACCAAGAGGGACCAGCTGGGAGCAGTGTGAAGTGTTAGGGACCAGCTGGGAGCAGTATGAACCATGAGGGGACCAGCTGGGAGCAGTATGAACCATGAGGGGACCAGCTGGGAGCAGTGTGAACCATGAGGGACCAGCTGGGAGCAGTATGAACAAAGAGGTACCAACTGGGAGCAGTATGAACCATGAGGGACCAGCTGGGAGCAGTGTGAACCATGAGGGGACCAGCTGGGAGCAGTGTGAACCATGAGGGACCAGCTGGGAGCAGTATGAACCAAGAGGGACCAGCTGGGAGCAGTATGAACCATGAGGGACCAGCTGGGAGCAGTGTGAACCATGAGGGGACCAGCTGGGAGCAGTGTGAACCACAGTCGTACTCACTCGAGGAAGTGTGTGATCTCCTGCCTGCTACAGTTGGACCAGGTGATGGGGATGGCGTCGCTGGTGAGGTGCGGGGACATCACGTGCTGGCTCGACCCGTAGTGACTCTCGCAACCATTCTGCGGTCCGTCGTGGTTCATGGCGAAGCTGCGGGCCACGCAGACAAGAGAGGTTAGTGTGGTTCATGGGGAAGCTGCGGGCCGCGCAGACAAGAGAGGTTAGTGTGGTTCATGGGGAAGCTGCGGGCCGCGCAGACAAGAGAGGTTAGTGTGGTTCATGGGGAAGCTGCGGCCCGCGCAGACAAGAGAGGTTAGTGTGGTTCATGGGGAAGCTGCGGCCCGCGCAGACAAGAGAGGTGAGTGTGGCGTCCACACGTGTCCTTTACTCTCCGGGTCGAGCGTCAGTTCTTGGGCTCGGCACTCACGGCTACCTGTTGTCTGCTGCAGCAACATCAGACGCTCCTGGTACTTGTTATACCTACTTGAACTACTTAATGTTTTGGCTTCTACTTTACCCGGATGTTGTGTGTGTGTTGGTGCTGTTGTGCTGATGTTCTCTGACATCCCTGAGACACAGTTGTTCATTGTGTTCCGTCCATGTTCCCTTGTTCTAAACTGTCTCATACTGTTCATGTTCCCTTGTTCTACCCTGCCTCATACTGTACATGTTCCCTTGTTCTAAACTGTCTCATACTGTTCATGTTACCTTGTTCTACCCTGCCTCATACTGTACATGTTCCCTTGTTCTAAACTGTCTCATACTGTTCATGTTACCTTGTTCTACCCTGCCTCATACTGTACATGTTCCCTTGTTCTAAACTGTCTCATACTGTTCATGTTCCCTTGTTCTACCCTGCCTCATACTGTACATGTTCCCTTGTTCTAAACTGTCTCATACTGTTCATGTTACCTTGTTCTACCCTGCCTCATACTGTACATGTTCCCTTGTTCTAAACTGTCTCATACTGTTCATGTTACCTTGTTCTACCCTGCCTCATACTGTACATGTTCCCTTGTTCTAAACTGTCTCATACTGTTCATGTTCCCTTGTTCTACCCTGCCTCATACTGTTCATGTTACCTTGTTCTACCCTGCCTCATACTGTACATGTTCCCTTGTTCTAAACTGTCTCATACTGTTCATGTTCCCTTGTTCTACCCTGCCTCATACTGTTCATGTTCCCTTGTTCTACCCTGCCTCATACTGTCTATGTTCTCTTGTTCTACCCTGCCTCATACTGTATATGTTCTCTTGTTCTACCCTGCCTAATACTGTTCATGTTCCCTTGTTCTACCCTGCCTCATACTGTTCATGTTACCTTGTTCTACCCTGCCTCATACTGTACATGTTCCCTTGTTCTACCCTGTCTCATACTGTTCATGTTACCTTGTTCTACCCTGCCTCATACTGTACATGTTCCCTTGTTCTACCCTGTCTCATACTGTTCATGTTACCTTGTTCTACCCTGCCTCATACTGTACATGTTCCCTTGTTCTAAACTGTCTCATACTGTTCATGTTACCTTGTTCTACCCTGCCTCATACTGTCTATGTTCTCTTGTTCTACCCTGCCTCATACTGTCTATGTTCTCTTGTTCTACCCTGCCTCATACTGTATATGTTCTCTTGTTCTACCCTGCCTAATACTGTTCATGTTCCCTTGTTCTACCCTGCCTCATACTGTACATGTTCCCTTGTTCTACCCTGTCTCATACTGTTCATGTTCCCTTGTTCTACCCTGCCTCATACTGTTCATGTTCCCTTGTTCTACCCTGCCTCATACTGTCTATGTTCTCTTGTTCTACCCTGCCTCATACTGTCTATGTTCTCTTGTTCTACCCTGCCTCATACTGTATATGTTCTCTTGTTCTACCCTGCCTAATACTGTTCATGTTCCCTTGTTCTACCCTGCCTCATACTGTTCATGTTACCTTGTTCTACCCTGCCTCATACTGTACATGTTCCCTTGTTCTAAACTGTCTCATACTGTTCATGTTACCTTGTTCTACCCTGCCTCATACTGTACATGTTCCCTTGTTCTACCCTGTCTCATACTGTTCATGTTCCCTTGTTCTACCCTGTCTCATACTGTTCATGTTCCCTTGTTCTACCCTGCCTCATACTGTTCATGTTCCCTTGTTCTACCCTGCCTCATACTGTATATGTTCCCTTGTTCTACCCTGCCTCATACTGTATATATTCTCTTGTTCTACCCTGCCTCATACTGTTCATGTTCCCTTGTTCTACTCTGCCTCATACTGTACATGTTCCCTTGTTCTACCCTGCCTTATACTGTATATGTTCTCTTGTTCTACCCTGCCTCATACTGTCCATGTTCCCTTGTTCTACCCTGCCTCATACTGTTCGTGTTCCCTTGTTCTACCATACCTCATACTGTACATGTTCCCTTGTTCTACCCTGCCTCATACTGTTCATGTTCCCTTGTTCTACCATGCCTCATACTGTACATGTTCCCTTGTTCTACCCTGCCTCATACTGTTCATGTTAACTTAAAAATGTTCATGGGTTGATGATGACCCTCGCCTCTGCTGCTCCCTCACTATGTTAAAGCATGAGGCAGGTCACGTGCCGGGTCAGGAGGACTGAGGACCTACTTGTGGCCGAGTTCGTGGGCGATGGTGTAGGCGATCTGCAGGCCCGTGTCTTCGTTAACGTTGCACGACCTGAGCGGCTGACACATGCCGGCGATCTCGGAGACCCCCAGAGTGGCGCACCTCTCCGTCACGCGGCTACATATGTTGTACCTACAAGGGAGACCCCGGCGCTTAGTGCCGCCTGCCACACAACCTCAATGACAACATGAGTCTCCTCGTATCTATGAGAGCAAAATATTCGGCTTTGTGAGAGAGCGTGAGGCGACGCACCTGGTGATGAGGACGGCAACGTCGTGATGGTACGGGTGCGTCTCGTTGCCAGGGTTGATCATCTGCTGCCAGTGGCAGAAGCTCCTCAGTGTGTTGTCAGCGTTGTGGCTGATGTCCAGTTCCTCCTGCAGCACACACATCAGGGGCGTTGGTAGTTGACACACGCACACACACACACACACACACACACACACACACACACTGGAATGAGTACGTCAGGGTGAGAAGAGAAGCAGAGAAAATTTTTGAAAATGATATAGCAAACAAAGCCAAGACCGAACCAAAGCTACTCCACAGTCACATCAGAAGGAAAACAACAGTGAAAGAACAGGTATTGAAACTTAGAACAGGCGAGGACAGGTATACAGAGAATGACAGAGAGGTGTGTGAGGAACTCAACAAGAGGTTCCAGGAGGTCTTCACAATAGAACAGGGTGAGGTCACTGTGCTAGGAGAAAGGGAGGTAAACCAGGCGGCCTTGGAGGAGTTCGAAATTACGAGAGAGGAGGTCAAGAGACACCTGCTGGATCTGGATGTTAGAAAGGCGGTTGGTCCAGATGGGATCTCACCATGGGTACTGAAAGAGTGTGCAGAGGCACTTTGCTTGCCACTCTCCATAGTGTATAGTAAATCACTAGAGACGGGAGACCTACCAGAAATATGGAAGACGGCGAATGTGGTCCCAATATACAAAAAGGGCGACAGACAAGAGGCACTGAACTACAGGCCAGTGTCCTTGACTTGTATACCATGCAAGGTGATGGAGAAGATCGTGAGAAAAAACCTGGTAACACATCTGGAGAGAAGGGACTTCGTGACAAATCGCCAACATGGATTCAGGGAGGGTAAATCTTGCCTTACAGGCTTGATAGAATTCTACGATCAGGTGACACAGATTAAGCAAGAAAGAGAGGGCTGGGCGGACTGCATTTTCTTGGATTGTCGGAAAGCCTTTGACACAGTACCGCATAAGAGGCTGGTACATAAGCTGGAGAGACAGGCAGGTGTAGCTGGTAAGGTGCTCCAGTGGATAAGGGAGTATCTAAGCAATAGGAAGCAGAGAGTTACGGTGAGGGGTGAGACCTCCGATTGGCGTGAAGTCACCAGTGGAGTCCCACAGGGCTCTGTACTCGGTCCTATCTTGTTTCTGATATATGTAAATGATCTCCCGGAGGGTATCGATTCATTTCTCTCAATGTTTGCGGACGATGCTAAAATTATGAGAAGGATTAAAACAGAAGAGGACTGTTTGAGGCTTCAAGAAGACCTAGACAAGCTGAAGGAATGGTCGAACAAATGGTTGTTAGAGTTTAACCCAACCAAATGTAATGTAATGAAGATAGGTGTAGGGAGCAGGAGGCCAGATACAAGGTATCATCTGGGAGAGGAAATTCTTCAGGAGTCAGAGAAGGAAAAAGACTTGGGGGTTGATATCACGCCAGACCTGTCTCCTGCAGCACATATCAAGCGGATAACATCAGCGGCATATGCCAGGCTGGCCAACATACGAACGGCATTCAGAAACTTGTGTAAAGAATCATTCAGAACTTTGTATACCACATATGTCAGGCCAATCCTGGAGTATGCAGCCCCAGCATGGAGTCCATATCTAGTCAAGGATAAGACTAAACTGGAAAAGGTTCAAAGGTTTGCCACCAGACTAGTACCCGAGCTGAGAGGTATGAGCTACGAGGAGAGACTACGGGAATTAAACCTCACTTCGCTGGAAGACAGAAGAGTTAGGGGGGACATGATCACCACATTCAAGATTCTGAAGGGGATTGATAGGGTAGATAAAGACAGTCTATTTAACACAAGGGGAACACGCACAAGGGGACACAGGTGGAAACTGAGTGCCCAAATGAGCCACAGAGATATTAGAAAGAACTTTTTTAGTGTCAGAGTGGTTGACAAATGGAATGCATTAGGAAGTGATGTGGTGGAGGCTGACTCCATACACAGTTTCAAGTGTAGATATGACAGAGCCCAGTAGGCTCAGGAATCTGTACACCTGTTGATTGACGGTTGAGAGGCGGGACCAAAGAGCCAGAGCTCAACCCCCGCAAACACAACTAGGTGAGTACAACTAGGTGAGTACACACACACACACACACACACACACACACACACACACACACACACACACACACACACACACACACACACACACACACACACTTGTTCATACCCGAGTTCTACCGCAGGAAGAACTCAATATGAAATTCCAGGTCTTAAATCTTCACATTAGAGCAAGGAGAAGTTCCAGAGATAAGAGAAGAAATAATTAATCAGGCACCACTAGAGGAATTTGAGATTACCAGTGGGGGATGTCAGGAAGCTTTTGCTAGAGTTGGATGTGACAAAGGTTATAGGACCGGATGGAATATCACCATGGATACTTAAGGAAGAAGCAGAAGAACTGTGCCTGCCACTCTCCATGGTGTATAACAAATCACTGGTAACAGGTGAACTGCCAGAAATTTGGAAGGCGGCAAACGGAGTCCCAATATACAAGAAGGGGGATAAACAGGAGGCACTGAACTACAGGCCAGTGTCCCTAACTTGCATACCATGCAAGCTAATGGAGAAAATTGTGCGAAAAAAGCTAGTCGAACATCTGGAGCGAAGGAACTTTGTGACAACACCAACGTGGTTTCAGGGATGGCAGGTCATGCCTCACAGAATTAATTGAATTCTGTGAGGCATGATTAATTGAATCAGGCAACAAGAATCAGACAAGAAAGAGAGAGGTTGGGCAGACTGCATATTTTTGGATTGCCAGAAAGCCTTTGACACAGTGCCACACCAGAGACTAGTGCGAAAGGTGGAAATGCAGGCAAGAGTGAAAGGGAAGGTACTCCATTGGATAAGGGAGTACCTAATTAACAGAAGGCAGCGAGTCACTGTGACGGGTGAGGTCTCGGATTGGCGAGACGTCACCAGTGGAGTCCCGCAGGGTTCAGTCCTTGGACCCATACTGTTTCTTATATATGTAAATGATCTTCCAGATGGTATAGAATCATTCCTCTCATTGTTTGCTGATGATGCAAAAATTACAAAGAGTATTAAGACGGAAGAAGACAGTATGAGACTACAAGATGACCTAAACAGACTGCATGAATGGTCCAACAAATGGCTATTAAAGTTCAACCAGAGTAAATGTAAGGTAATGAAACTTGGCAGTGGAAACAGGAGGCCAGACACAGGATACAAAATGGGAGATGAAGTCCTTCATGAAACGGACAGAGAGAAGGATCTAGGAGTTGATATCCCACCAACCCTGTCTCCTGAAGCCCACATCAAAAGAATAACATATGCGGCGTAAGCGAGGCTGGCTAACATCAGAATTGCCTTCAAGAACCTGTGTAAGAAATCATTCAGAATCTTGTACATCACATATGTAAGACCAATCCTGGAGTAAGTGGCCCCAGCCCGTACCTTGTCATGCACAAGACGAAGCTTGAAAAAGTTAAGAGATATGCCACTAGTCTAGTTCCAGAACTAACAGGCATGAGTTACGAAGAAAGGCTGCGGGAATTGAACCTCGCGACACTAGAAGACAGAAGAGTAAGGGGAGACATGATCACTACCAACAAAATTCTCAGAGGAATTGACAGGGTAGTTAAAGACAAAGTGTTTAACATGGGTGGTACGCGAACAAGGGGACACAGGTGGAAACTGAGTACCCACATGAGCCACAGGGACGTTAGAAAGAACTTTTTCAGTGTCAGAGTAGTTAACAGGTGGAATGCATTAGGCAGTGATGTGGTGGAGGCTGACTCCATACACAGTTTCAAATGTAGATATGATAGAGCCCAGTAGGCTCAGGAATCTGTACACCTGTTGATTGACAGTTGAGAGGCGGGACCAAAGAACCAAAGTTCAACACCTGCAAGCACAACTAGGTGAGTACACACACACTGAATGTCACTCATTCAGAACGTGAATGAGTGACCTACAGCCTGCCAGTAGGTCACCACTGGCAGGCTGGTGACCTACACCACTGGGACAGGCTGGTGACCTACACCACTGGGGCAGGCTGGTGACCTACACCACTGGGACAGGCTGGTGACCTACACCACTGGGGCAGGCTGGTGACCTACACCACTGGGGCAGGCTGGTGACCTACACCACTGGAGCAGGCTGGTGACCTACACCACTGGAGCAGGCTGGTGACCTACACCACTGAGGCAGGCTGGTGACCTACACCACTGAGGCAGGCTGGTGACCTACACCACTGGGGCAGGCTGGTGACCTACACCACTGGAGCAGGCTGGTAACCTACACCACTGGGGCAGGCTGGTGACCTACACCACTGGGGCAGGCTGGTGACCTACACCACTGGGGCAGGCTGGTGACCTACACCACTGGGGCAGGCTGGTGACCTACACCACTGGGGCAGGCTGGTGACCTACACCACTGGGGCAGGCTGGTGACCTACACCACTGAGGCAGGCTGGTGACCTACACCACTGGGGCAGGCTGGTAACCTACACCACTGGAGCAGGCTGGTGACCTACACCACTGGGGCAGGCTGGTGACTTACATGGTGACCTACACCACTGGAGCAGGCTGGTGACCTACACCACTGGGGCAGGCTGGTGACCTACATGGTGACCTACACCACTGGAGCAGGCTGGACACCTACACCACTGGGGCAGGCTGGTGACCTACATGGTGACCTACACCACTGGAGCAGGCTGGTGACCTACACCACTGGGGCAGGCTGGTGACCTACACCACTGGAGCAGGCTGGTGACCTACACCACTGGGGCAGGCTGGTGACCTACACCACTGGGGCAGGCTGGTGACCTACACCACTGGAGCAGGCTGGTGACCTACATGGTGACCTACACCACTGGAGCAGGCTGGTGACCTACACCACTGGGGCAGGCTGGTGACCTACACCACTGAGGCAGGCTGGTGACCTACACCACTGGGGCAGGCTGGTGACCTACACCACTGGAGCAAGCTGGTGACCTACACCACTGGGGCAGGCTGCTGACCTACACCACTGGGACAGGCTGGTGACCTACACCACCGGGGCAGGCTGGTGACCTACATGGTGACCTACACCACTGGGGCAGGCTGGTGACCTACACCACTGGGGCAGGCTGGTGACCTACACCACTGGGGCGGGCTGGGGACCTATACCACTGGGGCAGGCTGCTGACCTACACCACTGGGACAGGCTGGTGACCTACACCACCGGGGCAGGCTGGTGACCTACACCACTGGGGCAGGCTGCTGACCTACACCACTGGGACAGGCTGGTGACCTACACCACCGGGGCAGGCTGGTGACCTACACCACTGGGGCAGGCTGCTGACCTACACCACTGAGGCAGGCTGGTGACCTACACCACTGGGGCAGGCTGGTGACCTACACCACTGGAGCAGGCTGGTGACCTACACCACTGAGGCAGGTTGGTGACCTACACCACTGAGGCAGGCTGGTGACCTACACCACTGGGGCAGGCTGGTGACCTACACCACTGGAGCAGGCTGGTGACCTACACCACTGAGGCAGGCTGGTGACCTACACCACTGGGGCAGGCTGGTGACCTACACCACTGGAGCAGGCTGGTGACCTACACCACTGGGACAGGCTGGTGACCTACATGGTGAACTACACCACTGGGGCAGGCTGGTGACCTACACCACTGGGGCAGGCTGGTGACCTACACCACTGGGGCAGGCTGGTGACCTACACCACTGGAGCAGGCTGGTGACCTACACCACTGGGAAAGGCTGGTGACCTACATGGTGACCTACACCACTGGGGCAGGCTGGTGACCTACACCACTGGGGCAGGCTGGTGACCTACACCACTGGGGCAGGCTGGTGACCTACACCACTGGAGCAGGCTGGTGACCTACACCACTGGGACAGGCTGGTGACCTACACCACTGGGGCAGGCTGGTGACCTACACCACTGGGGCAGGCTGGTGACCTACACCACTGGAGCAGGCTGGTGACCTACACCACTGGAGCAGGCTGGTGACCTACATGGTGACCTACACCACTGGGGCAGGCTGGTGACCTACACCACTGAGGCAGGCTGGTGACCTACACCACTGGGGCAGGCTGGTGACCTACACCACTGGAGCAGGCTGGTGACCTACACCACTGGAGCAGGCTGGTGACCTACATGGTGACCTACACCACTGGGGCAGGCTGGTGACCTACACCACTGAGGCAGGCTGGTGACCTACACCACTGGGGCAGGCTGGTGACCTACACCACTGGAGCAGGCTGGTGACCTACACCACTGGAGCAGGCTGGTGACCTACATGGTGACCTACACCACTGGGGCAGGCTGGTGACCTACATCACTGGAGCAGGCTGGTGACCTACACCACTGGAGCAGGCTGGTGACCTACACCACTGGGGCAGGCTGGTGACCTACACCACTGGGGCAGGCTGGTGACCTACACCACTGGAGCAGGCTGGTGACCTACACCACTGGAGCAGGCTGGTGACCTACACCACTGGAGCAGGCTGGTGACCTACACCACTGGAGCAGGCTGGTGACCTACATGGTGACCTACACCACTGGGGCAGGCTGGTGACCTACACCACTGGAGCAGGCTGGTGACCTACACCACTGGAGCAGGCTGGTGACCTACACCACTGGAGCAGGCTGGTGACCTACATGGTGACCTACACCACTGGAGCAGGCTGGTGACCTACACCACTGGGGCAGGCTGGTGACCTACACCACTGGAGCAGGCTGGTGACCTACACCACTGGAGCAGGCTGGTGACCTACATGGTGACCTACACCACTGGGGCAGGCTGGTGACCTACACCACTGGAGCAGGCTGGTGACCTACACCACTGGAGCAGGCTGGTGACCTACACCACTGGAGCAGGCTGGTGACCTACACCACTGGAGCAGGCTGGTGACCTACATGGTGACCTACCTCATACTGGGGATCTTCAAGCAACATGATCCTCACCACGTAGATGTTCACAGCGTTGCCAATACTGGCGTCATGGTACACGCTCGACACCTGGGGGGGGGAAAGTGGCGCATGTAAACAACAACAATTATGTGTGTAAACAACAACAATTATGTATGTAAACAACAACAATTATGTGTGTAAACAACAACAATTATGTATGTAAACAACAACAATTATGTGTGTAAACAACAACAATTATGTGTGTAAACAACAACAATTATGTGTGTAAACAACAACAATTATGTGTGTAAACAACAACAATTATGTGTGTAAACAACAACAATTATGTGTGTAAACAACAACAATTATGTATGTAAACAACAACAATTATGTATGTAAACAAGTGGAGCATAACAAGTGGAGGAGGAGATATATTACACAACATATAGCAGCCTACACAGCTGCCTCTGACTATGATAATGACAGTACATGTTAGGTTAATATTGAGGCTCCCAGACCCAGGGGTCGAACTAGTGACCCTCCCCAGGATCCGGTCGACCGAGCGGAGGAGCCGGTCGGCCGAGCGGACAGCACGCTGGACTTGTCATCCTGTGGTCCTGGGTTCGATCCCAGGCGCCGGCGAGAAACAATGGGCAGAGTTTCTTTCACTCTATGCCCCTGTTACCTAGCAGTAAAATAGGTACCTGGGTGTTAGTCAGCTGTCACGGGCTGCTTCCTGGGAGTGGAGGCCTGGTCGAGGACCGGGCCGCAGGGAACTTTAACGCCCGAAAATCATCTCAAGATAACCTCAAGATACGATGGCACCTCAACAAGCTGACTAACTCTCGGGTACCTATTTACTACTGGGTGGATAGGGGCATCAGGTGAGAGGAAAGGCACCAAACCATTTCTGTCCCAACAAGGATTCGAACCTGAAATTGTTAATTATGTGTCGAGAACGGAGCCGCCAGTACTGCCGGGACGCTCTCCCTCTATATCTCCCTCTCCAGCTTGATCCATTAAACTATTGCTGCTTAGTGAAACTAATCCTGCCAAGACACCAGAGTCCCGCTACTGAGGGAGTTTATAGCAGGGTGTGGTGCTATGGTATAGCAGGGTGTGGTGCCATGGTATAGCAGGGTGTGGTGCTATGGTATAGCAGGGTGTGGTGCTATGGTATAGCAGTGTGTGGTGCTATGGTATAGCAGGGTGTGGTGCTATGGTATAGCAGGGTGTGGTGCCATGGTATAGCAGGGTGTGGTGCTATGGTATAGCAGGGTGTGGTGCTATGGTATAGCAGGGTGTGGTGCCATGGTATAGCAGGGTGTGGTGCCATGGTATAGCAGGGTGTGGTGCTATGGTATAGCAGGGTGTGGTGCCATGGTATAGCAGGGTGTGGTGCCATGGTATAGCAGGGTGTGGTGCTATGGTATAGCAGGGTGTGGTGCCATGGTATAGCAGGGTGTGGTGCTATGGTATAGCAGGGTATGGTACCATGGTATAGCAGGGTATGGTACCATGGTATAGCAGGGTGTGGTGCCATGGTATAGCAGGGTGTGGTGCCATGGTATAGCAGGGTATGGTACCATGGTATAGCAGGGTATGGTACCATGGTATAGCAGGGTGTGGTGCCATGGTATAGCAGGGTATGGTACCATGGTATAGCAGGGTGTGGTGCCATGGTATAGCAGGGTATGGTACCATGGTATAGCAGGGTGTGGTGCCATGGTATAGCAGGGTATGGTACCATGGTATAGCAGGGTATGGTACCATGGTATAGCAGGGTGTGGTGCCATGGTATAGCAGGGTGTGGTGACATGGTATAGCAGGGTATGGTACCATGGTATAGCAGGGTGTGGTGCCATGGTATAGCAGGGTGTGGTGCCATGGTATAGCAGGGTATGGTACCATGGTATAGCAGGGTGTGGTGCCATGGTATAGCAGGGTGTGGTGCCATGGTATAGCAGGGTATGGTACCATGGTATAGCAGGGTGTGGTGCTATGGTAGAGAACGTGATTGTCTCCCGGGTCTTCCTGCAGGCGATGGTGATGCCTGCGTTTGATTTCTGTGTGCAAGCACCAATAGTCTAGATAGTACTACTTTCCTCTTTTCTGCCCCTCCTTGCCCTGCCTATCCCTATCTGGTTGATACCTGGTTGATGGGGTTCTGGGAGTTCTTCTACTCCCCAAGCCCGGCCCGAGGCCAGGCTTGACTTCTGAGAGTTTGGTCCACCAGGCTGTTGCTTGGAGCGGCCCGCAGGCCCACATACTAGTTGCGTGCATAGGTGACATACTAAACATAATAGTTTCCCTTGAAAAGCTTCATAGAAAACACCGACCTTACCTAACCTACTTAGTATGTTAAAATAAGCATCTTATAGCTTCGTAATTACAATTGTTACTTAACCTATTATAGGTATAGGTTAGGTAATAATTGTAATTACGAAGCAATAAGATGCTTATCTTAACATACTAAGTAGGTTAGGTAAGGTCGGTGTTTTCTATGAAGCTTTTCAAGGGAAACTATTATGTTAAGTATGTCACCTATGCACATATATAATAAGTCAATATTGACTTATTAAATTTGCGAGAACGGGTTGCATATCTATACTTGAAGCTCTATATGGAGTCAGCCTCAACCATATCACTTCCTAATGCATTTCATTTGTCTACTACTCTGACACTAAAAAAAGTTCTTTCTAATATCTCTAT